CACTATGACACACACCGACCCCCAGGGGGCAGACGCTTAATGCACGAGCTGCCCCCTGGTGGTCAGTGCACTCCCATAGGGGGAGATCTGCTCAGCCACAAGCCAGGCTGATGGCTGTCAGCACAGAGGTGGTGGTGGGAGCCTCTCCTGCCTCCTTAGCAGCACTAAGGATGTCTGACTGCAGCTTAGGCCTGCTCCCCATTGGCAAGTGGACATCCCAAGCTGCCAGAGGGATGTCTGACTGCCAGCTTAGGCCCAATCCCCCGGGGAACGGGCCTAAGCCAGCAGGTGGTCATTCCCCGAGGGGTCCCAGACTGTGAGAGGGCACAGGCCGGGCTGAGGGACCCTCCCGAGTGCACAAATTTTTGTGCACCGGGCCTCTAGTATTGTAACAACTATGCCGGGTGTCAGATGAATACTAGATCTATCAGGGTTAGATAGATATAACTAGATCACTTCATAAGTTATATAAATGTCTAATCACTATGTTGTACACCTGAAAATAATATACTGTATGTCAGTTGCAATTAAAAATATTTTTAAATAGTAAAACAATAAGACAACCCTAATAAAAATAAAAAAAGGAATGGTAACTGGGAAAACTGGCTGTCTAAGGAGTAAAACTGACATTAGGCACTGGAAGAATTCAAATGCCACCAGGCTATTTTCCTGTCTGCAGTGGCCAGGTTATCTGCTCTCGCAGAAGGGTTTCCTTCCGGCTGCAGGGGAGGGCAGGCACAAATAGTTCCTGGCTTACATCATCCCCCTTTCATATCCCTGGAGGAAAGAGACTTTTTTTTGGAGCCACTGCCTATTCAAAAATGTGTGTATATATAGCTCCATTCTAGAGAAAGCTGCTGATGGGTCTGGCTTGGGGCATCTGCTCCTTCCAGGGCCAATCCCTGGTCTGGAGGCTGGGGCACAACAACCAGCCAGACTGAGGTCACAGGTTCTCTAGTCGGGGTGATGGGGAACTGGGAGAGGCAGCCCCACCAGAACCCCACAGTCACCAACTGAAAGACTGCTGGGCAGACAAAAACGAGTGTCCACAACAGCCCCCAGTTCCCCGGCCTGGCCGGTGACCACAGTGGAATGGGAGCCTGGGACGTTTCAGGGTGTTCCTTTAAGGGGCAGTAGAGGTGGTTAGGCTTCCACTCAATGCAGTGGAAGCTCTTCAGGGCCTCGTAGGGATTCGTCATCGCCTCAGTAGGATTTGAGGGGTTTCAGAGCTCGGGGTGAGGTTCTGCAGGAAGTTATATTTCATCTTCCTTTTCATATGAAAAGCCCGATTTTTCTGTTCAGAGCAAACTGTCAAAATTGGTGTATTCTCAGAGCCGTAGCCGAGTAGCCTGTGTGGGTGTAAAGAGCTGTACAGGGCGCTGATGGAGCACCTGCCCGAGGAGCTCCCACTTTGAGAGTTGCTGTCAGCAACACAAACCCTCATGTTGCCACAAAACGATCCCATGCTTCTGCTCCTGTGTGTAGAGAAGCATCGCAAACAGCTTCCCGTAAATGCTGTCGCCTGCCCCTCACCCCACCCCCTTTCCTCAGCCCTGGCCTCGCTTCACTCCTACCTACCTGCTCAGAATCCCCACACGGGGCATCTCGGCCCTGGCATGCCCGCCAGACTAAGGAAGACCCAGAAACTTCAGGGCCACGTGAGCCACGGCCCTGGCCACGTCGGCAAGCACCCGGGGGCCGAGGTAATGCTGGTGATTTGCATCGTCACAGGATCAGCTCCGACAAATACCGCCCAGGTTCCTTGGGGGAAGTGGGTGTGAGGCATGGCCACTTAAGGGGACCCAGCCTTCTTCCCCACGGTCAGCCTCGGTCTCCTGTGGCCCTCGGTCAGTGAGCAGACAGGTAAGTGCTGCCAAAGACAAGACGGTAGCCGCTCCCATCACTGACGTGGTGCGGTCGGGCTACTACAGAGTCTGGGGAAGGGGCGGCTCCTTGAGCAGCCTGTCTTGGCTAAGGCCAAGTTCATCAGCAGAAGACTGAGGAGAAGACGGTGTTGGGGGGGCCAGCGTGTTGGTAGCTTGAAGCCACATGGACGGAAAGAAGTTCATTAAATGCTCACAAGTGAAAAAAAAGAAAAAAAAATCCCCACACGGTATTCAGCCTTGTGCCATTTTCTCCTCCTTCTCAGCTATTCCTTCCTCGGAGACTCACAAAACAATCTTGGAGGAGCCTTCCTCCTCCTCAGAAGGCAGACAGCGGGGAGAGATTGCAAATGATTAAGTAACACGTGCCTCCCCACAGGGCCCATCGCAGAGAAGCCCGGAGGCAGGTGACAGCTGGATCCTGGCGGCGGCCCCCTGCTCGGTGCTCACCGTGCAGAATGGGGTTGAGGATGGTGCTGCTGGCGGTGCTGGCATCGCCTGGGGCCTTCCTTACAGAGCTCCTCCTCGGAGAGCTGCTTGGAAAGTAACAACATAGAACCCTGACGTCCCTGCCCCGCCGATGTTTTTCGTTTTGTTTTTCTTGGCACAGGAATAGGACAGGAAAAAAAAAAGATGTGACGTTTGAGCAACTCTGGGAGCAGAGAGAAAGGAGAGGCAGAAAGCAGTCTGGTTTCCTCCCAACGAAGCTCTGCATTCTGGGTCTGGACTGCCTTCCAGCTGCTCACTGGCTCCACGTGCACAGCGCTTCGTTGGGTGAGTGGTAACGCGCAGGAAGCTCTGGTATTTACTTAGGTTGCCTCTGACTCTCCTGCCCGGACGCTGGTGAATAACGTGTAAAGCTGATGAGCACATACCTTCCCTCATGCTAATAACATGATTTGCCACGTGCCCGGCACTTTATAAGCATCATTCCATTTGTTGCTCTCCCTCTGGGGAATGTAGTTTTATATGTTATCTTACCTGTTGTACAGGATCGTCATCACCCCATTTTACAGATGACCAAACTGAGGCTCGGGGAGGGAAGGGTGCCTGGATCCTATAGCAAGCAAGTGACAGGGCCAGGGTGTGGCCGAGGCATCCTGATTCCAAGGCTGGGAGTGGGGCGTGATGGTAACATGGAGATGGACAGGAGCTGGTTCTGTTCTTGTGGAGTCACAGCCCACTGTGAGAAAGGACCTGCGTTTGGTCATTCATTTCATTCATTCATTCATTCATCCATTCATTCATTCATGGGGTGCCTATACTGTGTGCCAGGTTTGGGGGTATATCTGGTGACTTAAGACCCAATAGTTAAAAGTTCTTTCCCTCTGCTAGACCCTTGTCTTCTTATATCTTTAAAATTCAATAGAGGGCCCTGGCCAGTTTGGCTCAGTGGATAGAGCGTCGGCCTGTGGACTCAAGGGTCCCGGGTTCGATTCGACTCTGGTCAAGGGCATGTGCCTTGGTTGTGGGCACATCCCCAGGAGGGTGTGTGCAGGAGGCAGCTGATCGATGTTTCTCTCTCATCGATGTTTCTAACTATCCCTCTCCCTTCCTCTCTGTAAAAAAATCAATAAAATATATATTTTAAAAAAATTCAGTAGAGGTTTGAACTATAAGCCCGCTCTAGAGGAGGAGATAAATTGCTTACATTCCAGGGTGATGTGTACACAGGGATCGAGGATACAACAGCTCTGTTCTTGAACGTAGACTCCCCGCAGCGCGTGTGTGGACGAGGTGAGGAGGGGCGGCTCAGTGGGTGCCTCCGGGCGGAGGAGCGAGCAGGGACGGGGAGGGTCGGTGCCCGGGAGGCATCCAGACCTGCCGGTCCGGAGGCGGCGCAGGCGGTCCCTGTCGGGGGCAGGAGGCTCGGCGAGGCGCTCATTAGCCAGTCGCTCTGGGAAGGGCTGGTGACCTCACGCTGGGCGGGACTGAGGCCTTTAAACCCGGTCCCTGTGCCTCCGCTGCGCCGGCCTCGCAGCCTCCCACGGCCGTCCGTCCGTCTGTCCGAGAGGTGGGTGGGGCGGTTCCTTCCCGGACTTCAGGAAGGGTGAGGAGTGGGGGTGGCTCTCGGGTCGGGTGGGAGATGGAGAAGTTGGGCGAGGCAGCGCCCACAGGTTA